GTTCTTAAACTTTTGAAGCAATATCATTTGAAAAGTATTCTAAATGATTTTAGATGGTTTTAAAATGGTTTGGTTGAACTGAACGGGCAAAGTGAAAGCGAATGGGCATCGATGCGAACTGATGTTGCCCTGAGACCCCGGGAGGATGACGCGGAAGGTTGAGTCACAGGCCCATGTCGAAATAACAAAAGAACAAGGGACACATAGGGGATGTGGCCGGCGGAAAAGGGCTATTTTGCCCCTCGCCGTTTGTGTGGCAGGATTGGATTCGGTTTTGGTCGTGGCCGCTCGTTAGTGGCCGGTGTTTGGAAGTGGAGGAGTAGGGCGGAGCGCATTATACGTCTTAGCAAGCGACGTAATAGATCGTGATAGCCAAAATAGCACACGAATGTCGGTACTGAAGTGTTAGCAGGGGGATTTTTATCTGGGGAAACATTTGTTGTTTTGTTTTACCGCCTATTCCTACCTTTTACCATAAATTTTAAATACAAAAGTTTTTCGCTATTGCTTATATCACATTATTTCGGGCTGTAATTAAAACTCTTAGTATATTTTGTGATGCTCTATCGAATGGTGTAGCCAAAATCCGACAATGTAGCGGAAATATCGAAATTTTTTTTGGAAATGCAGGCTAGCGGGTAAAGTAAAGTCTAGGTAAATAGTGTATTTTCATCATTTTTTCGTAATTTGTGTTCGCTAGAAAATTACAAAAAATGTTTTAGATATTTTTTGAAATATTTTTGTGCAAAGGTCTTTTCGAAACATTTTATAACTTTTTTCGAGGTTTTTAGGTCTAAAAACTGCGTAAAATGCTATGAAAGCGGTTTATATTTTGTAATAGCACTGTAATTCCTCACCAGCAATCGAACGAAGACTATTATTCCCCGATGGAAATGACAAACGTCCTCGTGGTAGCGTGGCGGGACGACGATTGCTTGAAGTCAGTGCATCGACCGTCGGTACAGAATATTTCCGGCGTGGCGGCGGAGTGGGAGAGTTGCTTAACAAATAATAGGCGTCCGTTTGCTCTTGGAAAGGGATGTCGAGGTGCCCGTTTACAATTTAAAAGTGGCACGCGGCGGAAATCGGTGGGACTTGGTAGAGAAGCCGCCGAATTTTTTATTGACTGTGTCGCGCGGGTTTTTCAAATATATTCGTTTCTGGGTTTTGGATCTTGTAAAATTTTTCTGACGAACAGGGTGGGAAGTTACAAATTAAGAGGGATTTTTTGAAGATCTACAAAATTGGCGTTGTTTTGTCAGGTATCAGCGAAATTTTTGCAGTGTTTGGTTCGTTAGCAGGGGGGGAAGGTCCCGTATACGCCTCATAAGGAGACAATACCATTTTGGCAACGTTTCCGTCTGTTTTAAGCATTAAAGTTCATAAACTTATCAATTTTCGAACCTTTTTTAAAGTCTTGGCCCTTTTCAAAATAATCTTTAACAACAAGAATTTAAAGCTTTTTGTAAAAAAACGCATCAAAACTGGTTAAAAAAGCAGAAATATTTTTTCAAAAGAGGCTAGCCTGAATGAAGGAGTTATGCCTCCCCCCGCTAACGAACCGGAACCGCGCGTTTTTTCAGAAATTAACGCCCTTTTAGGGGTAGCGGACTGTTAGCGGGGGGGGGGATTCTTAGCAAGGGGAAACGAATTTTCCTAGTGATCCCGGTGCGGTCGTAAAAATATAAACCAAGTTTATAGTATTTTACTTAGTTATTAGATATCAAAAGTTTATAAAAATTTTCGAAATTAACGAAATATCAACATTTTCGAATTTTCAAAAATATTCGAAATATTTTTAACTTTCTTGCAATCAAAAACTACTAAAAACATAAATTCAGTACAGTATCTTTTGCCAGCAAAAAGATATAGAAGAAAAAAAAACAAAATTATATCCTCCTGCTAAAAATCCCCCTGCTAATAGTCAAGTACCGGAAGTCATTCCCCCCCGCTAATGAAGCGGAAGAATTTTTAAGAAATTAACACGCTTTTAGGGATATAAGTTTTGTAGTACCGCGCACGTTTTGCATTTAAGATAAAAATTAAAAGATTAAATTAAAAAGTTGCGCCGTCTAAACCCTATAAAAATTAATAGTGCCAGAAAGATACCTTTTGTTGTCAGTGGAATTCGGTTGCAGGGAAAAGCGGCGTTCATCGCTGGGCATTTCGTGTTGAATGTGGGTGGTGGTATGGATGGCAGAATGGAAATGGGTTGCGCCGTTGTTTATTTCTCGATTTGTTATCGGAGGGATGGGCGGAGAAGGCCTGTCCCTGGATGTATTCATTGAGTCATCATCATCCAGCTGCATCGCTAATTTGTCTGCGGCTTCAGCTGGGGTGTCTGAGACGATGATTTCGGGTAGAGATACGATGATGGGGTTGGGTACGGTTTCGAGGGTCTTATCTTGATCGTGATCAGCAGTTGGGGGTGTAGACGTCTGTGTTACGGTCCGTTCAGTTGGTTCAAAGCTTTCCGGGGGTCTGATGCAATTCGTATCTATCTTTTGATCGTCTAGATCAGGAATTTCATGCTCTGATGTAAATTTTTCGACGGAATTCTGTGCCTCCTGGATGTGGCATTCGACCCCAAGCTTGTCTACTTCCGGTGGGTTAACGTCCGCCTCAAACTCGTGCTCCGAGAGCCTTAATTTCTCGGGCACCTCTTCAACATCATCTTCATTCGTCCTCCCTTCCACAATATTTTCCAGGTTTTGAATCAATTGAGCCTCACATTCGATTCCAAGCTTCTCTACTTCCGGAGGCTTAACGTCTACCTCCATTTCTTGCTCCAATAGCCTTAGCTTCTCGGGCTCTCCCTCCTTCGTGCTCCCATCTTTATTCGTCTGCCCCTCCACAATATCTTCAAGCTTCCCTACTTCCGGTGGCTCAGCGTCCACCTGCAAGTCTTGCTCCAATTGCCCTATCTTCTCGGGCTCCCTTTCAGTACTATCTTCATTCGTCTGCCCCTCTACAATAACTTCCAGCTCCTCAACCAATCGAGCCTCACATTCGATCCCAAGCTTCACTACTTCCGGTGGTTTGACTTCTACATCAAGTTCTTGCTCCAATAGCCCTATCTTCTCAGGCTCCTTTTGAGCACCAACTTCATTGCCCTGCCCCTCAACAATATCCTCAAGATTTTGAATCAATCGAGCCTCAATTTCTGAAGTGACCACCCTGACATCATAGGCTTTCAAGCGTTCTTCCCCTGAATTGAAGGCCTCTGACTCCAGGCAATCCACATTCGGTGCCGTTTGGATTGGAGGGGACGGCATAATTAACAGAAACAAAGTATAGATTAGCACAAAATAGTGTTTCTGGGAAAATCAGTGTCTGGTTACCTTGGCTGTCACTGGGCGTCAGTTTGACAGCTGATAGCGGGTTTTTTTGCATAGTGGTTTTGGGTAGGCGAGGGAGAGGGGGCGAAAAGGGGGTGAAAAACGGTACTGGACTGTTAGCGGGGGGTAATTTTTCCGTAATCCTTTTGGGTCCTACAACAAAATATAAAGCATTTTTTAGCGTTTTACACAGTTTTGAGATAACAAAGCTCATAAAACCGCATAAAAAGGGTCAAAAACTCACTTTTTAGCCAAGAATACATAAAATTACCAAAAATGTAAAAATCTTCGAAATTTTCAAATGTATAAAATAGTTTTTGTAACTTTTTAGCAATAAAAACTATTAAAAACATCATAGAAATAGATATAGATTATTAACAGGCAAAAAATAGAAGGAAAACTTGCCAACCCTCCCCCCTCCGCTAACAGCACAGTACCAAATCAGCTAGCCCAGAAAAATTTCACAAAAATCAAAATAAAAGTGAAGTCTTGAGGTGCTAAAGTCCCAATTATACCTTCAAATGGGTTCCTGCTCTTTCGGCTACTTCTCCTCCTTAATTTCCGCTGCTCAAGGTGCTCTCGTGTGATGGGCTCAACGTATGCGCTAGGTCCGCAGCCCATTCATTTGCATTCCTATTGAAAATAACAATAATATGTTATTCAGAATGGATAGAAAAGAGCGAGAAAAAACAGGTTGCGCACGAGCGGCTGATTCACCTCACGCAGGCAACCCACAAAAAAGGAAAGGAGTGAAAGGCGATTGAAGACGTCATACAAAACGTAATAAATAATAAAATGAAGGGAGGTTTCATAACAAGGGACAGGAGGAGCTGTATGAAATGATGAGCGACGTGTGGCGGATCGATGCGACCAGCCGCTGGCCGTGTATTGACAATACAGGGGGATCGGGTGGTTGGATTCGTAGTGCCCAAATATATCCACGAAGCATAGTACGAATTTTGGGGGAATTTGGCACTAGTTACTTGGCGGGGGGGGGGAAACCCCAATTTGCTCTATAAATCCGGTACGACCCCAGGTACTGGACTGTTAGCGGGGGGGGGCATTTTTAGCAGGGAAGCCTATTTTCTTCGAAAATTTAGACCTTTTCTATAACATTTTAGACCGTTTTTAGATATAAAAATCTCATAAAAATCTATAAGTTAAATTTTTTAACTCTTTTGTCAAAAATCCATGATAAATGACCAAAGCGCTAAATTTTCGAATTTTCCTGAGAATTCAATTTTTTTAGAAGTTTTTAGGAATCAAAAAACTACTAAAAACGTCATAAATCATGTTTAGGTGGGTAGATCGAAATGGTAGAAATTTTGGCATAGATCCTGCTAAGATCCGATCCCCTGCTAACAGTACAGTACCAGAACTCTTAATGTAGGGGAGTACGTCACAAAATATCGACAGTTTTGCGTACCAGGATCGAATGGGACGCCATTTCGGATGTCAACCTCCACGAGAACACGTCCAGGCTGCGTGCTGATCGTCGAAAACTGCAATTAAAGTCTTTGGTGAGATCTTTCTAGTTTCAATATTTAAATAATAATACTAATAATAATTCATACGTATTAAAATACGCACCTCATTCACCTGAGGCTGCTCCTGAAAGGTGACTCGAGCCATCCTGGAATCCGCTGAATTATCAGCAGTGCCCTCGGGTTCCCGCGCCAGTTCCGCCAGTCTTTTTCCTCTTGAAGGTGGTACTTCGGGTTTCTTCTCAAAATATGCGTCCAAAAGTGATGTACAGCAGAAGAAGCCGGCCAGTTTTAATGTTTCAACATTCGATTTTTGTTGAATCGAATCGACGGGGTATTGGGGGGAGGGCACCTATATTGCCAGATTATGGAAATGAGTCGAGTTTCGAAGGGGAGGGCTGAAAAGCTAAACTGTGACGTCATCGGGTTGCGATGGTTGTAGTATGATAGCGTCAATTATCGGAGCTGTACTTTTAGCGGGGAAGGGGGTTTAGCCGGGGCAACTATCATATCATAGCTATAAAAATCATTATTCGCATAGATTTGGTATTTTAGTAGTTACCAGGGTTGAAAAGCCGCTTCGCGACTTTTCAACCCTGGCCCCGTCTGATCGCATGATGTACCTCACTTTGCATAATTCTTGGATTTCCGATGACAAAAAAGAAAACCGCGCTCGCTGGCCCATTATATAGGCTACCGGAACTTCCGGCGCATGCGAATTTTTTCCTAACAAAGAGGATCGCCAATTTTCCAACAAAAACTTAATTTTAATGTCGAAATAGGTAATTTTGATAAATCTGATCTGCGTGCAGTCATCTCAGGGCCATTACGCACCTAATGACGTATCGTATGTAGCCTAATACCCTTCCCCTCTTGAGATATCCTCCGGACAGAATGACGGAAGTTGCATGCAAAGTGGCACAGACACACACACACACAAACACTATTTTTTTATATATAGTAGGATTAAAAGGTCCTAAAAATTAGAAAGAAAATGTTAATCGTTCTCAGGTTTAAAAAGTGATGAATTTTGAGCA